TTGTCAGATATTAATATAGCCACTCTGGCTTTCTTCTGATGAGTCTCTGGCCATTCCCTTACTTTTAACCTATTTGTGTCTTTATATTTTAAGCGTATGTGTTGTAAGAAGTATATATAGACAGTCCTCAACTTACAGTGCTACAACTTAACAATTTTTCGACTTCATAATGGTGCAAAACTGTCACAACTTTGACATAATGTACAGCATTCAATAAATTACATGAGGTTTTTAACACTTTACTATAAAATAGGTTTTGCGTTAGATGATTTTGCCTAACTGTAGGTTAATGTAAGTGTTCTGAGCACATTTAAGGTAGGCTAAGCTAAGCTGTGATGTTCAGTAGGTCAGGTACATTAAACACATTTTTGACTTAAGATATTTTCAACTTATGATGGGTTTATCTGGATGTACCCCCATTGTAAGTCAAAGAGCATCTGTAGTTGAATGAGGCTTATTAGTTCAATCTGACAATCCTTGCTTTTAAATTGGGATATTCAATCTATTTATATTTTAGGTAATTATCCATATTGTTAGGTTTAACTCTTGTAATTTTTTTATATTTGGCCTATCATCTCTTTGTTCCCTTTTACCTCTTTTTCTACATTCCATTAGAATAAATAAATATTACTTATGATTTCTCTTTATACTCTTTGATGGTTATTAGCTGTTATTCTTTATTTTTCCCTAAGCTTTAGGGTTTATCATATACATTTTCAACTTGTCACAGATTACTTTTGAGTGATATTTTATTAATTCCAATTTACATATAGTATAAGAACCTTACATTAGTGTACTTTAAGACAGAGTCTCACTCTGTTGCCCTGAGTAAAGTGCTGTGGCGTCAGCCTATCTCACAGCAACCTCAAACTCCTGGGCTCAAGCCATCCTCCTGCCTCAGCCTCCCGAGTAGCTGGGACTACAGGCATGCACCACCATGGCCGGCTAATTTTTTCTATATATATTTTCTAGTTGTCCAGATAATTTCTTTCTATTTTTAGTAGAGATGAGGTCTCACTCTTGCTCAGGCTGGTCTTGAACTCCTGAGCTCAAGCAATCCTCCCATCTCAGCCTCCCAGAGTGCTAGGATTACAGGCGTGAGCCACCGCGCCCAGCCCATTAGTATACTTTAATGTCTCCTCTTCTAGCCTTTATGTTATTGTTGTCATACATCCTACTTATATGTTATAAACACTTAATACAGTATTATTTTGTTTAAACAATTATCTCTTAAAGTGATTTAAATGATAAGAAGAAGATTATGTGAATTCACTCATAGTCACCCTTTCTAGTACTCTTTGTTCCTTTGGGAAGATGCATGTTTCCACGTGATGTCATTTTTCTTCTGCCTCAAGACTTCCTTTAGTATGTCTGTGTGGGTCTGTTAGTAATTCTTTTGGCTTTCATATATCAGGAAAAGTCTAATTTTGTATCTAAGAAAAAGATATTTTCACTGGGTGTAGTATCCTGAGTGGACAGGTTTTTTTCAGTACTTTAAAGATGTTGCTCCATTATCTTCACACTTGCATTGTTTCTGAAGAGAAATATATTGTCATCCTTATCTTTGTTCCCTTGCACGTAACATGTCTTTTCTTTGACAGTTTTAAGATTTTTTCTGCTTATCATTGCTCTCAAACAATTTGATTATGACATGACTTAGTGTAGTGTTCATGTTTCTTGTGCTCTGGCTTTATTGAACTTCTTAAATCTGTGGGTTTATACCACTCATAAAATTTGGAATTTAAGGCCATTTCTTTTTCAGGTGACTTTTTCTGTTTCCCCCTTCCCCCTTCGAAGACTAGAGTTACATTTATATTTAGCCACTTGAAGTTTTCCCACAGCTCACTAATGCTTTTCATTCTTTGTTATTATCTTTTCACTCCGTTTCAGTTTGGATCTGTGTCTTCAAATTCACTAATCTTTTCTTCTGCAATATCTAATCTGCCATTAATCCCAATAAGTATATTTCTATCTCATATCTCAGACGTTACAGTTTTTATCTCTAGAAGTTTGACATGGGCCTTTTAAAATATTTATAATGTTGTTACTTAACTTAATGAACATCTGTAATGCAGTAATGGTTTTAATGTCCTAGCCCAATTATAACACCTGTGTCTGTTCTAAGTTGGTTTCCAGTTCATATTATCCTGTCATAGGTCATATTTTTTGCTTCTTTACATGCCTGGTAATTGTTGATCAGATGCCAGACTTTGCAAATTTTACCTTGTATGCTGTTGAATATTTTTGTATCCCTACAGATATTCTTGAGGTTTGTGATGGGATGCATTTAAACTACTTAGAAATAGTTTGATTCCTTTGGGTCTCTTGATTTTAAGATTTATTAGGTGGAACAAGGACAGTGTTCGGTTCAGAGCTAATCACCCGTCTCCTCACTACTGAGATAAGACCCTTCTGAGTACTCTATCCAATGCCCATGAATTAAGAAGTTCCAGTCTGTCTGGCAGGAATAGCCGTTATTCCTGTCCCGGTACAATCTTCCTAGTAGTCTTTTTGGGTTGTTCTTTCCCTTGTCTCAGGCAGTTTCCTCACATGCATGCACTGATCTGAACACTCTGTTGAATACTTGAAGGGGAGCCCCTGAAGATCTCTGTGGTTCTCTCTCTGGTCAGCTGTGTCCTCTCTGGCACTGTCTTGCAAACTCCAGCTGCCTTGGCCTCCCCAGACTCTCAGTTCCTTCTCCTCAATGCAGGGAGTCCAATGAGCTCCATCTGGATTGTTCTCTCTGCACCACATCCTAAAACTCCCTCAAGGCAGTGAGCTAGAGCAATCATAGCACCTACCTCATTTGTTTGCCATCTTGCAGGGATCACCCTCCTTTTTGCCTAGTGACCAGTGTCTTCATTACTATTGTTCCATGTAGTTTGTCTGGCTTTGGTTTGGTTTTTCTGGTTTTGTTTGTTTGTTTGTTTGGCTGTCCCCAGGCAAATCCAGGCCCTGTTACCCCATCTTGGACAGAAGCATAAGCTGTGCTTTTTATTCCTGCATATCTGCATAGAAACATTTTGGGTGCAAAACATACTATTTGCACCAAAATATTAAGATTTATTTCTGGTTGGTGGAATTATAACGCTTTTTATTTTGTGAGTGTGTGAAATTTATGGGTCCTACAATAAATGTATTACTGTGGAATAAAAATAGTAACACAAATTTTTTCTAAAAATAGTTCTTTCCTATGCATGAGATCCATCCTGGGTGATGGGTGCCCTAGAATAGATCACAAGGCCCTGTCACTGTCTAACATGCTCCAGGGTGATATGATCATGGCTGCACAACTCAGTTCACTCAGCAAGACTAGTGAAGTGCTGCCAGGCAGCTTCCCAGAGGAACCAGGGAGTGTAAAGTTTCAACAGTCTCACCAAAGCATCCACATTATACCCAGACTCTCTAGAACATGGTGGTTCCATGAAGGGGCCATCAACACCCAATAGCCATGAATTTCAAAGGTTTAAGTATTTTCATGGAAGACAGTGTTCACGCTAAACACGCTGACACACTTCACAGACATACGCACACAAACATATGACCTACAGTAAATAACACCAATTTGGAAGCATTTTTTAATGAAACCTCAGAAAAGAGAAATTGAGAAAATTCTAATGACCAAAGAATGGTAAATGAAAATTAATGATATAGTTCTAATTTTAACACGTTAAGATATGTAAAATAGCATTTGCACTCTAATGCTTTGTCTATATTATAGTATATAAAGAAATTTTATACTAATATTTATAAGGACTTTCAAAGAATTTCTAAAAATATTCATTTTCTGACCCTTAAAAAATAAATTTTAAATTCATCATCAGTAAATTTGTCTACCACAGCTGAGAAGGGAGTCCTCTTTCTCTAGTCCTTAATGTTAGTTGGAAGAAACCTCAGTTCTTATTAATGTAATGTACTATGACTAAATATATTGTGTTATCCAATCATTTCTCTAAAAATTTATCAGAATGATTCAGCTTTAAGAAACAATGGTGATATAGCACCTCTTGTATACTCCTGGATAGAGCTGGAACGCATTCTACTAAGTGAGGTATCCCGAGAATGGAAAGACAAGCACCACATGTACTCACCATCAAACTGGTATTAACTGATCAACACATAAGTGCACATATAAGAATAACATCTATTGGATGTTGGACGGGGAGGGGGGAGGAGGGGACGGGTATTTGCACACACAAAGAGTGCAATACACACCACCCGAAGGATGGACATATTTGAAACTCGGACTTGGGTTGGGGGGCAAGGGCAACATACGTAACCTAAACATCTGTACCCCCATAATATGCTGAAAAAATAAAAAATAAAAAAAAGGAGATAAAAAAATAAATAAATAAAAAGTGTAGTCAAGTGGCCAGTAACATATTAAAAAGGTGCCCAACTTTTATTGGCTACTGAAGAAATGCAAATTAAATTCACAATCCTCTATCAACACACAATCACAAGAATGATGAAAATTAAAAATACCAAGAGTGGGCAGGACTGCGGAGCAACTATAACTCTTGAGCTATTCGGGTGGGAGTAAATTGATAAGGCATCTGTAGAAATGATTAGTGGTAGCTACTAAGGCTGAATATATGCTGATCTATGAAACGGCAATTCTAATCCTATCTATAAATCCAACAGAAAGACCATGTGTATTTATCCCAAAGCATGTAAAAGAATGTCTCAAATTGGAAAAACCCAAAAGTGTCCATCAGTAGTAGAACAAATACAATGTGGTATGTTCACTATACAGAAAGAACAACGAAAATGAAAAAAAAAAAAAATTTATCAGAATGAGAATGAAGTGACTTCAAGCCAGCTAACTCTAGGTTGGAGGATCAAGACCTACCATCCCACTCTTGCATGACCAATAGCATTTACTATGAAGAGGCAGCACAGAGGAGCTTGATTTCTAGTAGAGGTGTCCATGTGGACAGAGTGCTAAGTAGGCTGAGGTCTGCATTCATTGGAAGCAACCCTAGTACACTGGTACATACCATCTTCCTCAACTCCTGGTTGGAAACAATAATGACATTTGGTGGGTCTCCGATGGCAGTGGCAGCTCCTCCAATGTTAGTGAAGATCACTTCTGCAATCAGGACTTGTCTTGGATCAAGGTTGAGCACCTCACATAGTCTGCCACAAATGAAGGAAAATGAAAGTAGTCTCACTACTCACATAGTAAAAGGCCCACGTGCAAACCAAATGTTTTCAAAGCATTTGCTCATACAAGGGAGGCACAGGCACGTGTGCACACCCCCCACCCCGTGAAAAAGGCAGTGCTAGGGGGACGAGCAACTGCAACAGCACACTCAGGCCACAGCTGACTCTGGGTGTTACGTTTCCTCTGAAAGTTAACCCACCAGCCTCTGAACCACCAGTGCGGTAAGTACCCTCTTCCCAGCCCCAGTTCTGGAGGAGCAGGCTCCTGTGTGCAGGCCCTCACACAGGCGAATGGGTGCTGCCACCATACCCCTCCGCGTCAGGGTGGGGCAGCGCGGAGAGCACTGGTGGCTCGCACGGAGCCGCTGACTTAGTCTTTATTCACCTTCCCTGTCTCAGATGCCAAGGCCCCAAGCTCTGCCCTTGCCCCTGCCCTTTAACTACTGTTAATAAGGACTGACTTCTTCCTTGGAGAAGGAGCACACTCTACAGCCATGGTTGTCCACGTGGCTGCTCACTGGATTTGTCTCCGAATCTTGGAGAGTCCTATAGCCCGGCCCACAGCACACCAATCCCGAGAGTGGGCCTGGGCAGCAGCATTCTACAGCCCCCAGGTGGGTCCAGTGCAGAAAGTGCAGAAAGCACATCACAGCATCCTCCACCCCGGCCCAGTCCTGTACAGGGGTGGGGCCCTGCTGCACTCCAGGGCTGTCCCACCACCTCCTGGCCCTCAGCTCATAGCACAGCCAGCCACAGCCTTCCCCTCTGCTGGTGGGAGGAGCAGACAGGCCCACAGACTTATGAGGAAGCTGAGGTAGAAGTGTGTCTGGGGACCACGAGCAGGAGCAACTCCACAGATGAGCATGAGTCCCCTGGAAGCAGCAGCGCTCAGCTGAAGAGGCCCCAGGATCTACTTCTAGCAGGAAGATAATTTGTACACGCCAGTCAACACCACCAGACAAGGCACAGTGGCTCCAGTCTCATGGGCCTAGGATTTTAACTGTGAGGACGAAAGCTACTCAGGCCAGACACAGGCAGAAGAATGTGATCAACACTTACAAAGTCATGAAGAATGTGGTCATAGAAACAGTGGGTCTTAGCACATCAGCACTTAAACCTTGAAAGACGTAATTTTTTGACTAATAAATGGAATTGCTGCTCTAACAACATGACAAAGCCAGTTCCTAAGCAGTGACAATATAAACAAATCCTGGCAAGGCTGAGACAACCCTCAGCTGTGGGCAGTACAGGGGTGCTGGGAACAAGGTGCCTGCCACACCTCGGTCCTGGAATCCCGCTCTCACTGAAGGTCATGGGAGAGCGTGGCGACAGCGGGGATCTGGGGCATGTGGGTGGCACCACCATTCTCAAACCAGGCCAGCCACAGAGTCGTGCCAGTTAGAGGAGGATGGGGGGCCTGCCTCTTGTCCCCTGTCATGCCCAAGGGATTTAGTACTCTTAGTAGCACATGTTACGGTCTACAGCACCCCTCAAACAAGTCTGCTCCATCCCTCATTCACCCTCAGCCCTGCAGAGAAAGGCCGAGAGCCCAGCACCCCCCACGCCCCACAAGTCTCTGTCTACACAGGAGTAGTGACAATATGGCTAAGCCTGTAGGAGCCTGGGTACAAGCCTGAGTCTCCACACTGAGGCAAGAGTTAGGCTCAGATGCTGCAGCCACATCCATGGGGGTGCTGGCCGCCTCCTCATACCCCAACTCACGCCTCTAGGAGTCATCCCCAGAATTAATCCTGAGTCCAGGAAGCAGCATCTTGCTGGTGCCTTTGAACTTGCTCTGGCTCCTACCTGTGCCCAGGTGGGTCTCTCGTCTCACAGAACCCTTGGCACACTCGCTCAGCTTTAGCCCTTTGCTGGTACAACCCAGATCAGTGCGGCTGAAGTGACTTGTTCAAGGGCCCTACTACCATGCAGGACCCTGTGAGCCCCTGGGGCAGCTTTCTCACCTCCGTATCCCCAGGCCCAGCCAAGCACCCGCTGGTGATGGGCCCAAGCAGGAGAGGACCCAGGCTTGGGAGCCTGAGGCTGATATGCTGGGGAAGCATCTTTAAGACACAGAACATAAAGTACGGAAACAAACTTAGGTCCACATCTTCAGACAGGGCCTGTGCAAGGACCCAGACTGAAGCTCAGGCTTCAGAAGATTCTGGGCAAACGGCCTGTGGCATTCAGTAAGTGTGGGATGACTTAAGTGGATGGAATTAAAAGAAATGGAATCGGATCAAAATAATTTCCCTTTCCCAGATTTACCCTGCGAAGCCTGGCCAGGCTGAGCCCTGACTCTGGGGAGCCCAGTCACTCCTGCCCCAAGCCTGGTCATGATACCCTCGACAGACGTACCCTGCATACCTTATGGTCACAGGAGTGAAGAGAAGCATCGTGGTGACATTGTCCAAGAAGGCAGAGAGCACAGCAGCGATGAGACACAGCATGATGATCATGGCCCACACTCTTCCCCGGGACAGTCGGTATGCCTGGGGCGCACACACAGAAGGAATAAGCCAAAATCAGCAGGTTCGTAGAACAAATGCTACTTTTCATTAGTGACGCTAAGGAACAGGGATCCAAACAAACATGGCACGTGGGTTTTGACTTAGACACATGAAGTCCTGGGTCTGCTAAGATGAGATAGTGATGGCCATGCTGGGCACCGCAGTCCTGAACACTCAAATCTGCCATGGTCCACACAGATTCTCCTTCTTCACAGTGCCCCCGTCACGAGGTGACGGCCCCCGTTCCCTTTAACATCATCTAGTGTTTTGGTTAGACAGCCTGGCTGTGGCATCTACAATCCATGGGACCCTAGTGTCTGCTGATCTTTGGGGACCTAAGAGATACTTTCAGTACCAAGGTATGGAAGGAAGAGGCCAGAATACACAAGACGGTGCATGAAGATGACAAAAATCACAGCACAGGTCTATCGTTCATAGTCTGCAAAGGGCTTTGTTGGATAATTTTAAAAAGAACTTTTCAGTTCCCAAAAAAATGCCAAGCACAGCACTAGCTCTGCATTAGCATGGCCTGGCAAGACCTCCTCTTGCAGCAACATTCTGGGGGCCAGAACCTGCTGCTGCTTCTCCCCAGGGGTCCAGTTAAAAGTGAAATGGATGGAATTTTACAACATTTGCATTAAATGATAGTTTAGTTTCCTAAACATCTAATGTCAATAAAATAAATATATCAATTAATTAGTACATAACTATTAATATCACACCTACCTTTACAGCACAATAATCAAAAAACCCAGTTTCTGAAAATATGGCTACTAAGATCATCTGTGGGGAAAAGAGAAAAAGGAGATGAGAATCTTTTAGCAGAGCACCGTACTGAAACGGTGTGAGCATGATCAGTGCAAAGGTGAGCTCTGGCCCCCAAAGCCACCACATCACAAGTGGTTTATGACTCAGGTCCCACACTAGCCCACCTGTGCTTTGAAAGCACAGGGCGGCCACTGGACAATATGATAAAGGAGCACACACCCAAACTATTACTTAGGGACAATATCTTCCTTTACCCATACAATTAAAGGTACTTTTTCAATCACTGAAACTCTTATATGGTTCGATTATTTGGGATATTCCATTTTTTTATTTTAAGGGCAGAAATGCAAAACAATTGCTAACTTTTCTAAGTGGCAATGCTATTTCATTGTCAGACAGGCCTCAGACTGACGTTCTCCAGCTAACTAACCAGCACCGGTCGTTCCGTGTCTCCGCAGCAGGAATTAGCCAGACCTGCACTCACACGTCCCAATCAAGCCCTAATCGTCATGTGGCACAGTGTCTTTAATATAATCAAGGATTTTCCGCAGTGACAGCAAAAGAGAAGGACCCAGGCTGCGGCGGGCTCGGAGCCCGTCCCACTGGGAGGGCTGTGATTACCATGCCAAACAGCAGGGCCAGGGTCTCAAAATCAATCCACTCCACCACGTGGGTCAGGCTGGGTCTCTGCAATCAAAGCACAAATTTGCCAATTAATCCTGTGCACCCCCTCCAGTGATAAACTCGAAAAATAGGCTGCCTTGTACTGCAAAGCCACTCACTGGGCCAGAGTTGGAAATCACACCATCCACTTGCCTTTGAAATTGGATCACATCATTGCTGAAAACAACACTCATGACCCAAGGCATCTGTGATGTCAAACCTCTGCATTTAGTAATTTAAAAATTTGTTTTTTAACCCTGTCCCCAGCCACTCTGTGAAGAACTGCAGCCTTGATGGCAGGATTGGCCCTTGAGGTTACACTCTTAGTGGAGTCCATGTGTGCCTTCCTCAGTGTCATGGCCTCACACCAGGTGACAGAGAGCAGGATGACCGTCTGTCCTGCTCTGCATCTGTCCCCCATTCTTACAGGGAATATGAGGGGACAGCCCTGCAGGGTCTGGCTATCGGGAAGGGCTGCATGATGGGTGGCCCGTGGGCCTTCCCACAGTACCTGCCTGCTACGTGCCACATTAGCAATCTTCAAAATGAAATAGACTGCTCCTCCACTGCTCCTTAACCATTGGTAAAAGTAACAGCGCTTTTATGTCTAAGTTTTAGGGTTCTGGGATTTTACCTTTAGGATTAGCATTTGTTTATACCAACTCTAGCCAAGAAAAAGTTCAAGTTCTGACTACTGCTTTCAGGCTGGGCCTACATTCAAAATTTAAATTAAAAAAAAAAAAAAAAAAACCAAAACATAATAAATGGCTGACTCAGCACACATACCCTACATAGTTTTTTAAGCTAGTTATTATTCTTTGGTTGATTGAATGGCCTCTAGTAGTTTTCAGAATAATACCACTGAATTCCATAAAGGTGTTTCCAAATCCAGTTCTGCGTGTGGTCACCTCTAGGTGAGCCCTTAATTCAGTTCCAGCATTGTCCCTCAAACAACTCTGGGCCACTGTCTGCAGGGGACACTCAAACTCTGTTGCTTCCCTACATTTATTCCCCACGTCTCTGCTAGATGGCCCACGCTCAGACCCTGCCAGGGCACTGTCACCCCCATACATGCTTCACCAGGGCCTCCTGATGTCTGCAGGACAGAACCAGACTCCCAACTCCCAGCTCTGCTCCAGCTAGGATGGGCCCTTCTCATTCCCCAGGGCCGACAACATCCAGATCTAGCCCAGCACTACTCTGCTACACAGTCCTGGGCAGATACATCACCATGAGGAGCCTTTCCTCAGCCAAAAGGGAGAACACCACCACTGCGACGTGTGTGATAAAATCAAATGAAAAATACCCATCAGTGCTGTAGCTTGTTGGTTCCTGGGCAAAAACATGGAAGCGGCATCTAAAATATTGAAAAACACCAGCTAAAGCCTAAACCCCGAAATGTCTTTGAGTCTGACATTCTATCAAGTGGTAAGCCAGGGACTGGGAACGTTACAACTCACGTCTCCGATGACAGCCAGGGCCGCTAATGCTGCAAGGGAACCCAGCATGGCTGCCAGAGTTCTGTGAACGATCTGGAAAGAAACACAGGAAATTACTGCATTCCAGTCCCCCAGGGATTTCCCACACAGGGAAGCGTGTGGTGACATGAGTATGTGTGTACATCTGCCACTGTGTCCCACATCTACCAAAATGATAAATAACTCACAGGTCTTGATACTTCAGGGTCTGGACACCCCACAGACATGTACAACCAACACCAGCCATCCTTCTAGAGAAAGCTGCTTTCATTCTTTCATTTCCTGAATAACTACACGACCCTGGTAAGACAGTAGAGGACTGGACAATGTGCTGTACGAGGACACCCACAGCAACGTGTCATGAATTATCTGCCACATGCTCCCTAGGCAACTGGACCATCAGTTCGACAACATAAATCAGTTATTCCCAGTTACTGAAACTGTTATCAAGCCAAAAGTACACAGTTAACTGCAACGCAGGACAGAGGGCCCTGCAAGGTGCTGGGGAAACCTTCCAAGGAGACCGAAGGAGGGTGGAAAGGGCAGAGGGAGCCCCGGCAGGCAGTGCAGCAAGTGATAAAGTCAGAAGTCCTCGAAGCAAACACGGATGCAGGCCTCGCGCAGGCCGGCAGGGCACTGTCCTTCCCAGGAGTCAGACAGGAGACTGGCCTGACGGCCGGCCAGGTCCCACCAGGATGCGCAGGTCCAGAACTGCACAGCCGGGCACCGTGTCCATGCCCCACGCACACTGCTGCGCTGGTGTTTCACGACAGAGGATGTGTTGGTAGACGAGGGCAAGGAAGCATGGAATACACAAAGCCCAAATTCTCCCTACCTCACCACGGCGGCTGGCAAGACACAACTGAGAAGCGGGCCCTCGGCTCACTGTGGCGCAAGTGCCAATTGCTGGCTGAGCGCGGGGAGCACTGTGTGACCACAGCACCCATGAATGCTCCGTGTACACACTCTTCAGGGCTTCTCAGAAGCACAGGACCTCGGGGTCATTGGATGTCTGGAGATCTGCTCTCTCACCTGCTCCCGTCCTCGCTCAGGTGCTCCCTGGGCATAGGCGCTGCCCCAAAAGCAAGCCCCATACCCCAAGCTGCTCTGGCCCCACTGCCCCAGCCTCTTCCAGCCCACTCCCCGAGTTCAAGCTCAGAGAGTTGGCTTGAGAGTGATGCAGAACCATGATGTCAGGCTGTCCTTCCCTGGCCCAGTGGCGCCCACGTAGACCCCGGCACGCAGTGGGTCCCAGGTGCCCACAGAACATGGGCACGCCCGGCAGCGCGAGCCCCAAGGGTACACAGACACCCTGGTCTTTCTCCTTACGGGTCTCCCTGCATTTCACTGACCCTTCCACTGACCAGAGTAGCCCCAGGAAGAACATGAGTCAATCGTCATATTTTCAGCATGTAAAAGCACCCTACGCCATACAAAGACTAGATCCTACAAACGGGGACCCTGCCTCCCCATGAAGGTGTGTCTGTGAGTCTCATGGCCAGCCGTGCGCCCCTGCGGCTCTTGTCCCCGCCTGGTGTGGATGCAGGGCCCCGGCCCTACGGGAGACGGGCAGGCTGTGCTGTCCTGACACAGACCTGCCTGGCGCTCCTGTCTACACCCTGGGAGGTTCTGGGTGCAGGAGAGCAGGTAAGCCAGTTCTCGGCCCCAGTGTGATGTTAGGCCCTAACTCTGTCTGAGGGGGGTCCCGTGGGCTGCAGAGCCCTATCTCCTAGAGGAGATCAGTGGGGAGGGCACAGCCTGGACCCCAGCACCCACCCTGCTCCCAGGAGCAATGGTGCTCTGGGAACCAACTCTCCAACTGCGGGGTGCGGGCGACAAGTCAGACGCCCTCTGCCTCTGAGCAGTGTGGGCACGGAGGGTGAGCCAGCCACTGGGACTCAGAGAGCGCCCGGCCATCTCACCTCACTCGCGCACACACACACACACTCAGCCACACCCTCAGGCCTCACACACTCACACTGACACACACTTGCCTCACACAGTCTCACACCCTCACATACCAACTTGCACACACACACTCATAGGCAGTCTCCCACACAGACACAACACATAGTCACACACATTCTCACATTCAGTCACACACTGTCACACAGAGACACATGGTCTCACATACCCTCACTCTGACACTCACAGAGTCCCACATAAACACACGCACACGTCACATACGCTCTTACGCACTCACACACACGTACCCCAGACGTCCTTCCATGTGACCCCTCGAGCTCACACAGCCAGATCTTCTGATTACAAACAAGGCCCTGACCAATCATCCAACCCATCCACCCCTCTAAACCTTAGATTTCCTCTTCCACATACAAGAGAAGTCACTGCACCTCGCAATGTGGCTGCGAAGGTGAACTGCGTGTGCACCTCACTGGGCACTGCCCATGTGAGCGGGATGACATGTCAGGGTACACAGAAAGCAGGCAGGCTCGGGCACCTCCTCTCAGCTGTGCCCTGCAGCTCAGAGGCCACATGTGTTCTTGGGCCTCTCCACTTCCCCTCCCCAGGAGGGGGCTGGGGCCACAGAAAGAGCTTAGATATGGCATGACCCTGAGTTCATTCCTGCCTCTCCCACCTACCAAGGTGTGATTCCTCCCACACCCATTTCTCCACCTGTAAACAGGAGCGTCACACCTCCCTCCTGGGGCCTCTGAATTGGTTTGCTAGAGCTGCTTTCACACACTGCCACAGGCCTCTCTCTTGCAGTTCTGGAGGTCAGAAGGCCAGGTGTTGGTGGGCCCCAATGCAGTGTCAGCAGGGCAGCATTCCTTCTGCAGGCTCTAGGGCAGAATCTGGGTCCTCACCTTCCCATAGAGGCCACCCAGATTCCACAACCAGGACCCCTCTTTTCCACCTTCAAAGCCATCAACAGTGGATCAAATCCTCACACCACACTTCTATGACCCTATTGCATAGCCGCATCTCCCTCGGACCAAGTCTTTCCACTTGTAAGGACCTACTAGGCCCACCTAGATAATCCCCACATCTCGAGATCCTTAACTTAATCGCTCTACAAAGTCCCTTTTGCCATGAAGGTCACATATGTAAACAGCCCGGGGATAAAGATGAAGATATCCTGAGTAGGGGGTCATTATTCAGCCTACCACACCTTTTCAGAATTAAACGACATGACATGCAAGCACAAAGCCAGACCAGGGTAGGGGCATAACAGACATCTGTTCACCTTGTGCAGCCTTCCCAGCTCTGGCTGTAGAATGTCCCAGCTCCTGGAGAAGCGCCACAGCCTGGAGAGAAGCCTGGGCTCCAAAGGCAGCCACTGGGGAGCAAATCCTCACTCCACCTTTCCCAGCCAGGGACTTTGGGCAAGTGATCTGACTTCTCTGTGCTTGGCTGTCCTCATCTATAAAATGGAGCTGATGATAAAGCCTGCCTTGTGGGGTTGTCACTAACACACACACAATTCTCAGGACAGGGCTTGCTCTTGTGGGTGTCAACATTGTCATCGTTGTCTTTGACATCAAAGCCCTCAAGTCTCACTGTGGCCCTTCTTCATGCACTGGCTTCCTTTTCCCCCCGACCCTCACCCGCCCACCTCCTATTTGATCTGGCTCCAAATAACAGGATGATCCAGCTCACTGCCTGCGTGTGCAGGAATAGCTGAGGACGGGCATGAGAGAAACCCCCAGGGCAGCCGGCCCTGGAAAGGTTCCACTTCCTTCAAGACCAGTCTGCAAAACATTTGCCATTTTTCTAAGGAATGATGTGGCTACCCATTTTGAGAAGCCTTGAAATATTGGATTGTGAGTGTGTCAGAAGAAACCGTGGGCAGCATGGCCCCGTGGTCAGAGACCTGGGTCCCATCTTGACTCCTTCAACTGCAAAAGTGTCTTTGCAACAATTCAGTGTATATGTCTATTAAGCAAAGGGTGTGTGTTACATAATCCACCAGTTTTCGTGAAGTTCTGAAGGAGTCCTTCTCAAAGAATCGTCCTTTTCAGGGAAGAAAAGGAAAGGTATCTCTGGAACGAGGTAATGAAGCAAGTGTGCCGATGCTACAGAAAGCAGTATGCTCCATGAATCAGCAGTAAGGAAAGACTCACAGACAGAAGGAAATGAATTAGAGGGGCTCGGCCATTGGCCATAGCCGTAATTTAAATTTCAGCCTTGCAAAATATAACAAGAACAGAAATTAGGAAAATCTAACTTAGAGGTTTCCACCAAAAAACAGCATTGTGGCATGTGCGCTGCATTCTGAAATGCAGCATCTTCCCTCTCTCCAAATATGCTTCCCACTTCTGTAAATTACAAGGGAGACTCCCCGGAAGACTAAAGGTGTTCTCTATTCATCTTTCTTGAATTTAATTTCACAATTAATTGTTAAACCAAACACTACATGAACTCCTGAATTAGATATGAACGTACCCAGAGCAATGAAACCTGATCTTACACAAAGCCTGCATCATTTTGCTTCAATTAGATAAAGGGAAAGAAATGGCCTGTGTGTTTGCAGCAGAAAGGAGCCCATGGTGGCAATCCTTCTTAAAACATAATTCCAGGGGTTGGGTGAAGGACACATGGGGAAAAAGTATTATCTCCTTTATGTTATGAAATATTTTCATTAAGACTGTGTCAGAATGGTTTTAATATAATTTTATGTGGAATAAGGACATAGAAGCCTTAGCTGTGATAATGGAATTTTTAGAATGCTGCACCGGGACATCTCCTGGAGCCCCATTATAGCTGCAAAGTGCAAGAGTTAGGAGGATCGTTCCAACTTAGCTCTTTGGGGCTTTCAACAAGAACTACTTTACAAGGATGAGAGATACAGCGCCAAATCCTTAGGCAAGAAAGTGCCAATCAGGATTATCTGCAGGACCAGAAATACAAATAACCCAAATATTTCTTGAAATAGTTTCATCCCATCAAGCTATTAAAAGACCTAAGGGAATCCAGGCTGGTCTTTTATTCCTGCTCAGTCACTCATGGATCACAAAGTCGGGGGTGGACCAAGACCCCCCTGCCCCAGAGCCAGGTTAGACCAGACCCAGAGGACCTCAGCACTTGTCTCA